AGGAAGGAAGGAAGGAAGGAAGGAAGGAAGGAAGAAAGAAAGAAAACTGTTTATGATTTGGCTTTCCACTTAAAAGGGCCCACAGAGGGAGGATATACTAACTACCTGGATATCTAATGGGCACCTCAGACTTAAGAGGTACCTCCTGATATTCATCCCCAAATCTGCTCCATCCATAGTTCTGTCTTCTCAGATAAAAGCAATTCCAACATTCCCAGTGCTCAGGAAAAAACCTTAGCCATCTTTAATACTCTCATTTTCTTATATCCCACATCCATTTCCACAGCATGTCCTGTTGATTCTACCTTCAAAATATTCAGGATCTAATCACTTCTTCCCTCCTCCACTGCTACCATCCTGCTCCAAGCCACTGTGGATTATTGCCATAACCTCCTGATGTCTCCCAACTTCACTTTCCCCACTCCACAGCACCCCCACACACCACCTCCAGCCATTGTCTATTCTCAACACCAAACCTGAGTGATCCTATTAAAATATGTTAGATCAGGGCGCCTGGGTGGCTCAGTCACTTAAGCATCTGCCTTCAGCTCAGGTCATGATCCCAGGGTCCAGCCCTGCATCGGGCTCCCTGCTCCGCGGGAAGCCTGTTTCTCCCTCTCCCACTCCCCCTGCTTGTGTTCCCTCTCTCGCTGTCTCTCTCTGTCAAATAAATAAATAAAATCTTAAAAAAAAATAAAATAAAAATGTTAGATGAAGTTTTTCTTCTGCCAAAAGCCCTCCAATGGCTTCGCATCTTATTCAGAATAAAAGTCAAACATTTTCCAGTGCCTACAAACTCTATATAATCTGCACCCACACACAACACACTGTGACTTCTCTGACCTCATCTCCCACAGTCCTTTCACCTCTCTTCCTTTCTTTCTCACTTCATCCCATCACATCTGACCTCTTCGTTGTTCCACAGACACTGCAAGTCCGCTCCTGGCTTAGCGCCACTGAGCCTGCTGCTCTTCTATGTGGATACTCTTACTCCTGGTATCTACACAGTAATTCCTTCACTTTCTCAGCAATGCCTTCTCTGACCATACCATTTGTAGCACGCATTATAACCTTCAAACATTATATTATTAACCTACTTACTTTTTATCTGTCTCCCCATACTAAAATACAAATTCCATGAAGGCAGGAATTTGTGTTTCATACCTTCAAAGCCTCCAACAGTGCCCGGCATATGGTTAGGTTCTCAATAAATATTTGTTGATGAATGAATGAATGAATGAATGAATGAGCAGGTGACTTGGAAGGCAATTCCCTGTGGCAGTTCTAATACTCATGGTACTGCTGCTTATCCTTCAGTCTCCTTTGAGTTTGGCGAGCATTAATCAACCTCCAAAGACTGATCACTTCTAGTTTGTCACATCTCTTTAAAATGTGCCATCCCAAACTGAACACCAATAGGTGTGATGGGCCTATTTTGAAGTAGATAAAGTACTTGTATTAATAGAACCTAAGATGGTTAGCATATATTTTAGCTGTGTCTCAGTTCTAAGATACATTGGACAGTAGGAAAAAACCCATCACTTCTTTCTAAAATAAACTCTACTGCTAGAGACTCAGCACTGCTACAGTTTAAATTTTGAGCCTAAATATTAGATTGTGAAATTCTGTCTTGTTAGTTTTAGCTCATCATTCAAGACTATTCAGCACAGTTTAAATTTAGGGCTATTCACCCAGTATTAGTATTGCTCCCAGACATTCACAAATTTGAGATACAGATATTAACCAAGGCAGAGGTCCGCAACACCCTGCCATAGATAAGCCCTCTCCATAAGCAGCCATGAAGTCATCAACCCAACCTTTTGGGTAGACCACTCAATCAGTTGTGACTTCATTTAAATCAAGTTTTACCCAGCTTACATTTCTCATGGGAATGTCATGAAAAACTAGCCATCAGATTTATGGTTTTCTTTGTCCTACCACACCAGAAATCTCTTCACTGAATGGGAGGGAAGCTGGATCAGCATGATATTCTTGGGGAAGCCATTCTAGTTCCCGGAAGCTTCATCATGATGCTCTCTCGTCAGGGGTTTTTAACAATCGACCGTTCAAAATGTTTAGAAACTCATCTAGCAATAGACATTAAGGAATGGGTTGAATTTTTAATCTGAAAAAAGTACAATAAATAAGCCAAAGAGTATTCAAAAAGTCTGGAAACAGGATAAGTAGTGTACTTACTAAACGTATTTTGCAGGTTAACGACTGGACTTATTGCTATCAATTTAGAAGTATATCACTTAAAAAGGTATCTAAAGGTTGCAGCAACACCTATCGGGCACATTACTTGAGAATGTAACTAACATACTGTTTATCTTGTTTCCAACTTTTTGGATACCCTGTATATTCCCCATCTGCCAGTCTCCAGATTTCTGGTACCTATCCCTCTTCCATGAGAATCAAAGATTACCTCCCTCAGACAACTGATCCAGGCCTAGAGTTTTAAAGGCATGTGGGTTTCTAATATCAAGTGTCTACTTTTTTTTATTGGGAAGATATTTCCCTCAATGTTTTAATATTTATACTACAGGAGCAGTTCTATTTTTCCTTCCCTTTGTATTTTATATAAATCTATGGATTCTTCCGATTTTGAGTCTATACAACACTTTTTAACATTTTGATGTATGTAATGACAATGATACATAGGTATGTACATATATATGTACTAATATACATATTTTCTCATTTTGTAAAAGATAATTACCTTTGAGTGGGAGAATGATCAGAAGCAAGTGAAGTCAGGGAGAAAAACCAAAACAAATCAAAGCCTGCCTACTACAGGAGAATGGAGACGAACAGAGATGGTACAGAAGCAAATGTGTCAGCAAAACCGAAAATGGAGGCAGGAGGATGGGGGAGGCAGTTGTTTCAAACAGAGCCAGTGTCTAAAACTGCTCTCAGGAGGGAAGCTGATAAAATGCAGTGAGAACCAAGACCTACTGCACATGAACTACTGAATAATAACACCATAAAATAAATGCTGATAAAACTGGCTCCCGAGCATAAGTGGCAAAGGGGGCAGGTGACTGGTTTTTGTTTGGCTTTTGAAGGAATGTGCTAATGTCACTTCATCAGAGAGGCCTTCCCCGCTCACTCCATCTAAGACAGTGCCCCTTCCCCCCTTCCATAACCATTCCATACACCGTTGGTTGGTTTTATTCTTCTTTCTAACATTCATTGACCAAATTAACATAATAGCCAATTTTTTTTGTTTTTTTTTTATTATTATGTTCAATTAGCCAGCATATAGTACATCATCAGTTCTTGATGTAGTGTTCAATGATTCATTAGTTGCATATAACACCCAGTGCTCACTACCAAACATGCCCTCCTTAATGTCCATCCTCCCACCCACCCCCCCATAATTAATCAGTTTCTATGAGGACAGGAACTTTGTCTTGCTCACCTAGAAGATGCCTGGCACATAGTAGGCACCTGTGAAATTGCTGGAGAAAAAAATGGGGAAATTCTTTCCTGAGATTAAAATATTCTTTATCTACAGCAAACAAACCAAAAACCAAAAACCAAAAAACCAACCCCCCAAACCCCAAAAACCCCAGAGAACTGGGAAATAACAGATTTCCCAAAACATTTTAAAGTGTTTTGAAGTTCTAAATTCACCTTTAAATTGAAATTACTATTTCTGAGCAAGACAAGTTACATAGAAAGTTGTTTATTAAAGATTAAGTTGCTATACACTTCAAAAATTATAAATATGTTAATATCATTTTAAATGTTGTTATAACTGGTGTTGTAAGATGCTAAACATTAAAAAAATTTAGCATTTCTACTGAGTGCCAATTTTTACGCGGTGCTTATGAACTGAACTGTGTCCCCCCAAAATTCCTATGTTGAAGCCCTAACTCCCAATGCATTTGCTGATGGGGCCTTTGGAAGATAATTAGGTTTAGATAAGGTCATGAGAGTAGAGCAAGGAAGAGACACCAGAGAACTTGCTTCTCCGACCCCCAATGTAAGAAAACAGTAAGAAGGCAGTTAGTTGTCTGCAAGCCAGGAAAAGAACCTTCACTATAGAACAGTATTGGCCAAACCTTGATCTTGGACTTTCCAGCCTCCAAAACTCTAAGAAATAACTTCCTGTTGTTTAAATCACCCAGTCTATGGTATTTTGTTACAGGAGTCTGAACAGACTAATACACAAAGCAAGCAAAAACTGAGTAACAGAAGAAGCAATATCAAAGTCAAACCAAAATCCATGATGTATCAGAGTCACTAAAATTTGTAAGCAAATACAGAAAGCTAAGAAAAAAATGAGATGAGAAAAATTTAAAAAACAAACCAAATCCACTGGGTACAACTACATGGAAATACTATTCATTGATTCTACTTTTTGACTGAGGCAAATGCTCCTCTCTTGATGCTTTATCATCTGTATGGACAGATAAAATCTAAAGATTTGCCTGGACTGAGGTAACGATAGATCTTTTCTACATATTTTTAAAAAAAATTTGATGTAAATACTTCCCAACAGATGAATTTCTTTCACATGATTGACACTGAAGCAGATGGGAAACAGAAAGGGAAGGCTGTTGGGTCAAAGATCTTAGCACTGCGCTTTATAGGAAATGCAGTGTAGAATTCAAACCTGCTTTCCTAAACACTTGAGATTTTAATTCATGATTTAATCTTCGGAGGGCCCTTGTGCTACTTCATTTTTCTAGTCCATTCTCTCTCCTAATTTCCTCAAACCTCCAACACTTCCATTCCCATCTTCGCATTCAGCTGATGACCTTGATTCCTACTTCACTGAGAAAACTGAAGTGATGGGAAGAGAACTTGGACATCTATCCACCTAATCAGCATCTGTGCCCATATCCTCTACCTCTGTTCCTATTAATAGGGATAGGCCATCCGTGCTCTTGGCCAATCTATTTATGCACTGGAACCCACTCCTCTCACTTACCTAAGGACCTGACTCCAATAATTCTCCTTCATTTCTCCTTCAATGGTGTTTTCATTCTCTACCGAATCATTCTCAAAAGCATACAAATATGTTATTATCTTTCCTAGTGACTTTTTTCCATGGTCTGCCCTATTACAGTTAATGGCAACCCCATCCTTCCAAACATTCAGGCCAAAAACTTTGGGATCATTTTTTTTACCCTACTCACACCTTCCTTCCAAGCTATCAGCAAATCCTTCAGGTTCTTCCCTCAAAATATATCCCCAAATCCAACCACTTCTCATGACCTTTCTTGCTATGAACCTGGACAAAAGCACCACCATCTTTTGTCTGAATTCCTGCATCTGTCACTCTGCCTCCATTCTTGCTCTCCCACCTCCCTGGACTCTTTTTATCCTTTGCACAACAGCCAAAGGGATCCTGTTAAGACATAAACATAAATCACTGAATGAGTTACCTATTCATAATTCTAAAGCACTTTACAAGCCAATTTTGTTTTCTATTTTTCAAAAGAAAACAAAGTTTTCTTTCTCAAATCCTCAAATCTTCTTTGCTGTCAGGGAGAAAAAAAAATAGAAAAAAAATAGCAACCATCTCATTTGTTCCCCTAAGTAACTTTACTTCAATCTCAATAAAGTGTTGTTCTCACCAGAGGGAGGATGGCCAGAAGGGAGCAAGTCTCCATAAAGCCAATCCTTTTGATAAAACAAAGATAACTGAATGGAACAAGTGAGTGCCCTTTAATCTGATCACCCTCTCCCTACTACCAAGTCTTTTTTAAAGATCCCTTTACCTTTTATTGCAACTATTAAACACTCCTTAATTGCCATGCTCCTCTAGCTTTGGGATTTGTCTGTTTGTTTGGTTCTGATTTGATCACTTGCATTCCAAAATCTGGGAAAGGTTGAAACAGTGTTCCAGGGAGACTTCTCAAGTAATAGCAATTAAAGAACAATTTTCATTATGTTGGAATTATCAACATGGTGACTTGGAACCACACTCCTATGAGAAGACAGCATTTACTAAGACACAAAAGGATGTTCACTGAAGCATACCATTTCCTAAATTCTCAAGTTCATTTATGTTTTTTTGTGCTGGAGATCTTGCTTGAGACTCCACATGGTAAATTTAGTGAGGCTTGTTGAAAATAAAAAGGGTTAAGTAAAACAAAAGATTAAAGTCATCTTTATAATAGGAACAGTATCCATTCAACTTCAGAGCTATTTTAAATGTAAATAAACTCTAGAACCCCTGACTCATCACAAGTTAATGAAGACTGCTCCTTCTAAGCCTTTCCTATCTCAGTAAATGGCAACCACATCCTTCCTTTGGCTCAGGCCAAAATCTTCCGTGTCATCCTTGACTGGCCTTTCTCCTCAGGTCCTTCACACTGGCCATTCCCTCCGCCTGGAGGGTTTTAGGCCCAGATCATCACAGTGTCACCTTCAGCATTTTCAGATTTCTTCTCAAATGCTGTCTTATCAGTGAGATCTTCCCTGAACAACCTATTTAAAATGAGTAAACTGCCTCCCAACACTGCCACTGCTGTTTTTACTATTGTTCTCAAAACACTGGCAAACTTCAGACGTACATATACTGCATATTTGGCTTATTTTACTTGTTTTTTAGTTTACTGTCTCTTCCCACCAAAATGTAAGCTCCATGGACAGGAATTTTATCTGTTTTGTTTACTGCTCAATCTCCAATTGGTAGAACACTTGAGACGTAACAGGCACTCAGATATTTCTATAACGAATGGGGATGACTAAGTAAAATTATGACATCTGCCTCAGGAAAGGCAACCATTTAATTTTCAAATAATTCACTTATTTCTCATAACAACATCCTTCCCGATTGCATACTGGTGGTAACATTTAGGCATAAATTTAGGAAGGAAACATTTTGCACTTCATAGCATACGAGATATGGCTCATTCTTTACCTCAATTAACATAAAACTAGAAATTATTTTGAGAATTACAGGCAGCAAGTGGCATCCCAGTTTTACATGACATAGATTTCTTTTAAATTCACCTCCATGCAATCTGGTTTTACCATTAGTCACTGAGTTCCCTATTACTTTAAGGTGCCAAGCACTAAATGAACTAGGCCCCGACTTCGTCTACTCTTACTGGAAACATGACCTCCCAATCAAAATCTTAAAATTTTGAATTTCCAAAGAGAAGCCTGAGTACTTTACCTGAGCTGCTACAATATTTAAACATTCAAAAAAAGCAAGTGCTTGAAAAGATCTCTGCTAAGACCTTGAGTTTATTATTACCAACGATGGCACCAAACAAGTTCTCAGATTCAAAAAGAATTAAAGTTAAAAAATATGAAAAGTAAATCAAAACAATTATAGTAGTATTAACCAAGGAAAGAAAATTCCTATCAAGTGATAGACAATTTCTAGAAGAATTATCAGAACTCTTTCTCAACAATAGAGTACACCAGAAGTCTGTACAAAGGTCGTAATTCATTTTCTGTGGCCCTGCAGGAAAAAAAAAAAATTAAAAGCAATTCTTGAAACAGGTAAAACGTCATGATTACAATTCTCGGTATATTCTGCATGTTCGGCTGACTAACGGTGCTAAAATATAGGGCTAAAATCATTCTGTTCCACTCCATTCCCATGATGCGTACGTCACAAAGTTCTGAGGCAACTTCGTGCAATAGCAAAAGAAAAAAAAAAGAAAGAGAAAAAGAAAACGTAGTGATTCAAAAGCAATGAAAACAGAACGGAGAGTACACCTCAGGTGACCTCCCATAGGCTAACAATAGCGGTGCGCACTTCTAACCTGATTGCTCAATCACAAGAATGGTAAGACCCTAGCAGTGGTTAAGTCTTTCCACGGCTAGGGGACAACGTCAAGGTCTGCCTTGCCTCCCAACACCTCCACGACCTCCGTCCCCGCAACACCCTGAAAGCGAGGGCCTCGCAGGACCTGGGCTCCCTCTCACCGTCACTGCACTTATACTGGCAGAGCCCATCCTCGCCTCCCAGGAGGTCTAAGGCGGCGTTCAGGTACGTGTCTATCTTGTGAACGCCGTTCCGGATGGTCTTCAGGGTGGCCCGCCAGTCGGTGGTCTGGGCCTGCTCCTGGCACCTGAGAGCGGCGGGCAGGAAGAGGAGGACGAGGGCGAACGCGGGCCGCGGGAGCAGGGCCATCCGCGCAGCACCGGGCCGTGCCCCCAAGGAGCCCACGGGGCGCCCTAGGCAGCGGCGCCAGCCCCCCGCTCCGCGTCCCCAGCCGGCTCCATGCCCACGCCTCCTTCCGAGCTGGGAGGCGGGCCCTCACCGCCTTTACTCAGCTCTGGCTGGGAGGCGGCGCCGTCGCGAAGACGCGCGGCATGGCGCACGCGCGGGCCTGGGCCCGCGGCCCCCGCTGTGCGCCTGCGCACAAGTGTGGTGTGTCAGAGGCCGGCGAAGCGGGAGCGCGGCGTAGGGGCTGCGAGCTCCGGTCCAAGCGCTGCCCGCGGCGCGCCTCCGCCCTGAGGGCACGCCTCTGCCTGAGGGGGCAGCCAAGTGAAGACCCCCCCCCCCGACCTGTCAGGGTTCAGCCCAGCAGTCCCCACCCCAGCCCGTTCGTAGCGACAAGCTTTTCTGGGTGTGGACGCCGTGGAAGAAATGAGTTCCCTTAGCCCCTTACAGAGAGCGCTGCGAGGGGTCCAGCTAAGTTTCGGTTTGAAAACGCGAATCTGCGTGACCCGTGGACCGGAATCCGGAATCTCACCTCCTCGCGTGCTCGCCGGGTCCTCTGCCCGCAGTGGCCGCGGCTGCGGGGGCGGGAGCCGGACCGCTCAACCCGAGGACGAGGTGGTGGTGCCTGAGTGGCAAGCATGAGCGAGATCTCGTTTAGAAATTCTGGAGGAAGACACTGGTTTGACAATAAAAACTGTAAGTTTTCTTTCTGGATAAGGAAGAAACGGTATTCTACTCTACACTTGAATACAGTTTAAAAAAAAACTTAATTGGAAATCACTGCTTTTCTGCTGACCATATTTTGAAATTTGATAACTCCGGTGAAGTTTCTCAGTATTTTTTTCCCTGCGCTGTGCAGAATCCTTAAATAATTATTGCAGTAGTTTTTTACCAGAGCTATAAATATCTGGTTATGTTAGTATCCCGGAAATTTCCTAGAATTTTACGGTAAGATCCAGGGCAGTATCGCAAGTCTTGGGAATAGATGCATCCTTTCTTATTAAAATTACCAATAAATTCTAGTTTGGCGTTTTGTGTTTGTTACAAGCTTCATAAGTATAATAAATGTGCACTAAAGAGTTCCTAAGAATTCTGTCCCCCTGTACTGAGAACTTACTCTGTGCCATGTACTTCACATCATCTCACATTCAGAACACCGCTTTACTGGGATGCAGACTTAAGGTGAGTTAGAAACAGGAAAAGAAGTCTCTCCTGGCAGACACACAGATGTAGCCCAACGCCAGGCTGCGACCCTCAGCCAGGCGCCCTTGGGCTGTGATCTGCCTGCCACAATGAGGGAAGGGGAGACCTGTGCCCTGGAGGTATTGTCAGCCTTCTACGGTGAAGGAGTCAGAGTACGGAGGAGTCATATGGCGGTATCCAGTCAAACTAGGGGCTAATTCTACCTTCACGAGATGCCAAAGATTTTTTTCTTCATGTTTGATAATTTTGAAATGCACATTTCAAAACATTCAGAAAAGGGACCATAGAAATTTTTTTATGTGTTCTGGAGCATTGGTTTTCCCATCTCTAAAGTGTGGGTGTTCAATTAGATTACCTCTGGGTCCCACCTAGTTCCACCACCCAAACCCTTAAACCAGGTTTGGTTCTTTCAAGTCTTCAGAGAAACTCTCCCATATGTGAATAAATATTCCACAAGAAAAGAGAGAATGTATTAACCCGATTCCAACCCTCAGTTACTGAAGCCCCAAAACCTTTTTTTTTTTTCTTTTTTCCTTTTCTCTATACATTCATTCCTTGGTGATCTCCTCTAATTTCTTATACTTTAACTACAGCCTCTGCTCTGAGGATTCAGATTTAGTCTTCTCTGTCTCAACTCTCTTTAGAGATTAAATTCTCAAACTCCAGTTCCTTGGACTGATAGAGTTCTCGTTTTCTCTGAAACAAATTTCCTTTTCCACTGTGTTCCCCATAGGAATCATCACCATCTTTCCAGAAAACAAGATTCTAAGTTTTATTTTTACGTTCACTTCATATTCAATCATTAGATATTTGTTGTTCTGCAGTAATTCCAAGATTTACTTTTCCCCCTTAATTCCTGCTGCCAGATACTAGAGTTTGGCTATGTAACTTGCAGGGCTCAGTACAAAATAAAAATGCAGGGCTCCTTGTTCAAAAATCATGAAGAATTTCAAGGTGATGACAGGAGAGCATTAGAGCAAATGTGAAAGACTTCCGAGTTCAGTGCCTTGTACGTGGGCACAGGATTCATGGACATGAAGCTGGCCCTGACTGGTCATATGATGTTAACTTCTAGATGACCCCCTTCCAACCTTCCTTCCTAACAGCATAAAAGGTTTGAAAAGAGCCTCTTTACAGGGCACTTTTCATCTAATCAGCAAATCTTGTTATTATTGTGACAGACACTGTTGGTTGCAAACCCACAACTTCCAGGTCTCTCCTGCTAGCAAATGGCTAGGTTGTCTAGATATACTTTGGATGGGCAGGAGCTGAAGCCAGGAGGCCAGTTAGGATGTAATGAACCAGGTAAGACATTATTGTCTTACCGGCCCGGGGAAGGAGTAGTGGAGGTGTGAAAGTGGTCACATTCTAGATAGAACTTGATGGTAGAGCCAACAGGAATTACTGTTGGATTGAGTACGGTAAATGAAGGAAAGAGAAATCAATGACATTAAGGTTTGGGTTTCAGCACTTAGGGTAGTGAGTTCTCACTAAATGAAATGGGGAGGATTCTAGGAGTTGATTTCAGGGAAAATTTAGGAAATTAATTTCAGACACATGTTTGAGAAACTTGTTCTGAATTTGTAGTTCAGAGATGGGGCAAGGAATAGAAATTTATTTAGAAGTCATCAGCATAGAAATGACTTTTGAAGCCATGGGACTAGAAGAGATCCTCTAAAAAGTGAGTATGTGGAGAAGCAGAACCAAGTCTAGGTTGTAGGAGGTCGGGGAACTAGGAAGTGGCAAAAGAGGCTCAGAAGGGTCCTCCAAGTGCAGCTAGAGAGTGCTTTGTTGCAGTGTGTCTAAGAACAGCAGAACCGTCGATTTGGCTGGTGTGGAGGGAGATGAGGACCTGCTGTTGATTACTGAATTTAGTAACAGGGAGGTCACGGGAAACTTCATAAGAAAAGTGTCAGTGGAATACTGAGGACAAGACACATTTGTAGTGAGAGGAGGAAAAAAAAGGAAGAGGAATGGGGAAAAGCAACTTTGGTCAATATTATCCACACAAAATTATGAAAATATAAAATATGCTGTGTTTGTGCTAATTCTTGTCTGCATGATACATGTGCCTTGGAATGGGATCTTCTGGGTGGCTGAGACGAGGCTGTGTTTTCTATACAAAGCTTTCCAGTCCAGTTATGAGCTTAGTCAGTCAGAAACACCTTCTGGACACCCCGAATGGTCTCTTCAGTGTCATGGACATCAAGGAACATGGTGATATTAATGAGTAAGAATGCCAAATGTATTGGGGTTAAATGTAACATATTAACACAGAATGCTTGGAGGGTGGAATCCTCTGTGTTATTTGAAACAATACAAAATCAACAAAATACAAATGATCAAGGGCAGTTTCTGTTTTTTAGCCTTTTCCAATGTCTCATCAAATGGCCCAAGCAGTGTTATTGTGATGAAAATAAATGCCAAGTGGTGAAACCATTCCAGCCATAATGATCAATCTTTGCCCAGTGTAAAGGCGAGAACATTGGTTTCTAAAAAGGGCTCAAGTTAAGGGGAAATAAGTGCTAGTTTCCAGGCTCTGCCTTTAAAAAAAAAAAAATTAATAGCATGAATAGCTTTCAAACTAGGGACAATGTGAAGGACAAGAGATGGCTGCACCAGATCTATAAGCATGGGCTGGTTCCGTGATATATTCAAGATAACGGCTTTCCATTTCAGGTATTCTATCATCAGGCAAATTTGATCAGTGTTTTAGTCTGCTTGGGCTACTCTTAACAAAATACCACAGACTAGGTGACTTATAAACAGCAGAAGTTTATTTCTCACACTTCTAAAGTCTGGAGGTCCAAGATCAGGGTGCTGGAGTGGTCAGGTTCTGGGCAGGGCTCTCTTCCAGTTTGCAGACAACTGACATCTCTCTGTGTCCTCACATGATGGAAGGGGGGTGGAATTTCTGGGGTTTCTTTTATAAAATAGTCCCCATCTTAAGGCCTCTACCCTCCTAAGTACCTAAGCACCTCCTGAAGACCCCACTTCCTAATACTATCATATTGGGCATTAGGATTTCAACATGAGTTTTGGGGGAACACAGTAGTCAAAGCACAGCAATCAGGGAAGAGACTTTCAAGTGATCTTTGTGCGTAGAATGTAAGATCACTCAGCATACAGAGAGAATGTGCTGGATAGGATGGAAGGAACGCATTTGGGTGGGACTGCAGGGTTTTAGACCATCAGGATAAATTCAGGTGTGTGGTCTCTCTAGGTTGGGTTTCTGGCTACTTCCAAACCTCTGACTGATTTTCAGTTTCTTGTTCCCTACTGCATGCTATGTACATCTTTCCTAGGCTCCCATAGACCTCACAGCTTGAAAATATCCTTAACTAACGAAACCTGCTTCTCTTTCTCTGTTTCCTTTATTTCTTCAATCAATGGCAACAGCAATCATCTCATTGTCCAAGAGAAAACTTGGGAGTTATTCTAGACTCCCATCCCTCTCTCTAGTGCCCTGTCCTCTCTGTCCCCAGCTGCCATTCATTCTACTCCTTAATATATCTGGGATCAGTGCCATCCTCTTTAAAAGTGCCCTGCTGTAGTTTCTACCTTCACCGTTTTTCATTTGGATTGCTCCAATAGTCTCTTAACTGTCTCTCCTACCCCATCTCACCCCCTCCAGTACATCTTCCTCAATACCTCCAGGGTGAACTTTCCAAAGTCTTTCAGTGGTCTCAACTCTTTGGCATGAAGCCCTCTCTGACCTGCCCTTTTCTCCCTCTCCAGCTCCTCAGTTGCACCCTGTACACCCCCCCCCGTCATGCTGCCCTGCTCTCGGTCCCCTTTCGTGGTTGGCTCCTCAAGCCACAGAACCTTTGCACTTACATCTGCCTGGAAATCTCTTCTGTAATTCAGGTTAAGCTCAC